AAGTTTTATGTTTTCTATTGTTTTTGTGGGAAAACAATGCTTCTCATAATTTGTACTCCCTCAGTATATTCATTATGGCATACAGAAAGACAAGCTATCACTATTGTCCCCTCACATAACATTTTCTTGATTACAACTTATTTGCTACCCATACCTACTGTCCCCTCTAACTTCCAGAGAAACACAATGCATTTCACTGTATCCTTCTAGACATTCTAGACATGCATTGCAGAGCATCCTTCTAATCTTCCAGGTCCTTCATGTCCACTTAGCACACATATCCTCCAGGATCTCTCTTTATGTTTCACAGATGTTAGGTGAAACAAAACAGAGACTATGTGGAGCACATTATGATGTGATTTGATATACGACATCACTACTTCCATATCGCTCTTCCAAAGTACACACCACTGACACTCTTGAAGATCTTTAGGGTAAAGTTAAATGCCTCCTTTCTCATGGCCGTCAGCCCAGTGAAAGGCTCCAAAATGCATGGAGGCAGGGAGTAAACTGGACTTCAAAAATGATTAACAGTCTCACAACTCTACTTGTCCTGTTGTCTTCAAGGCAAAAGTATTTCCTTTCTCATTCCAGTAGTCAGGCAGAAGGAAGAGAGTAATCTGATTGTATATAGCTATTTGTAATGTAGAGATCAGTGTTTTAACTGATTTCCCTAGAATTCTATAGTTGGTGGATATCTAGTCTCTATAACTAACAGTTCTTGACTTCACTTCTTCCTATCCCAAAATAGACGTGCTAAATAGGTCATATATTTTGCACCCTAAAAGTTATTATGTCTCATGATTTTGAGGGGAGCTCAAAGACATTAGCCAGGACATTGATATCTACAAGTAGACCTCAAGGTAGGTTTCAGTTACCTAGAAATAGCCACCTAGTGCCTATTGACACCACTGGTGAGGTTCTGTATCACAACTTTCAGCCACATATGGATATCTTCTCAAGTGGAGACTTGAGGTTCATGACACTATGTGTCTCTGCTTAAGCAACTGAACATACTCCTAGGGTCATTAAAAATGTATTCCTCAAGTGCTAGAAGATCTAGCCTCTGCATATCTTTTAAAATAACCTACCATCATAATGATCACAGTAATTAATCACCTCTTGAAGTATTATGGGAGAGCACATTCCTCTGTTGATAAAGTCTTTGGCCTTTTCTGAAATCAGAAAATAGATGTATACCCAAGCAATAGTCCCCATATGAAAATCTGATTTCTACAGATACAGACAAGACAGTATAACACCTTCAGTGCATCACAAATGATAGCATCGGGATTTCTAGCAACTGATCTAACAGCAAACATGGTAACAAAAGAACGAGTAAATGGTAATACCAAATCTTTAGGTTGTGTTGCAATATGCTTCTTGTCTGTATTTAATCCTTAAAAAATGGAACCAAGCCCATAAAGATAATTGTCTTAGGTGTTCTGAATTTCTGCCACTTTTAAAGGTCAGCCCAGACCTTGGGCATGACAAGTGTGTTACACAGGGAAAGACAGTCACATTTTAGGAAGATGTTTCTGTCCTTCTCCATTTGACACACTTTCATAACTTAATCAGATACATCAAACTTCATATATCTCATATGGAAGAAACCCAGGATATTTTACTCATTAACTACGCATGCAGAGTGACATCACTTCCACTGCCAATGTGTGTCCTGCTTAGCTGTATAAACAATAAGTTTCCCAAGTGGGAGACAAAAACTACAAGGAAAATATGAGTTTCCTTTTGGCAAAGCTTGGCATGATGCCATAGGCACAGAATTACAGAATGACAAAATTATTTAGGTTGGAAAAGACCTCTAAGATCATGAAGTACAACTGTTAACCTAACTGTCAAGTCCACCACTAAGCTATGTCCCTAAGCACCACACCTATATATCTTTTAAATATCTCCAGGGATGGTGACTCAACCACTTCCCTGGGCAGTCTATTCCAATGCTTGACAACCCTTTCAGTGAAGAAATTTTCCTAATATCCAACTTAAACCTCCCCAGGCACAACTTAAAGCCACTTCTTCTTGTCCTATCATTTGTTACTTGGGAAAAGAGACTGACACCCACCTTGCTACAACCTCCTTTCAGGTAGTTGTAGAGAGCAGTAAGGTTTTCCCTCAGAGTCCTTTTCTCCAGGCTAAACAATTCCAGTTTCCTCAGCTGCTCCTTATAAGACTTGTGCTCTAGACCCTTCACCAGCTTCGTTGCCCTTCTTTGGATGTGCTCCAGAACCTTACTGTCTTTCTTGTAGTGAGAGGTCCAAAACTGAACACAGTATTCGAGGTGCAGCCACACCAGTGGTGAGTATAGGGGAATGATCACTTCCCTAGTCCTGATAGCCCCACTATTTCTGATACAAGCCAGGATTCTATTGGCCTTCTTGACCTCCTATTCACCCAACTGTTGACCAACACCCTCAGGTCATTTTCCACCAGTCAGCTTTCTATCTACTTTTCCCCAAGCCTGTAGCATTACATGGGGTTGTTGTGATCCAAGTGCAGGACCTGACACTGAGCTTTGTTGAATCTCATATAGCTGGCTCATACAGCTCATCTATCCAGTCTGTCCAGATCCCTTTGAAGATCCTTCCTACCCTCAAGCAGATCCACACTCCTGTCCAACATGATGTCATCTGTAAACTTACTGAGGGTGCACTCAATCCCCTTGTCCAGATCATTGATCTTAGATCTTAAGATCTTAAACAGAACTGTCCCCAATACTGAGCACAGGGGAACACCACTTGTCATCAGCTGCCAACTGGATTTAACTCCATTCACTATAACTGTTTGGGGTCAGCCATCCAGCCAGTTTTTTACCCAGTGAAAAGTACATCAGTCAAAACCATGAACAGCCAGCTTCTCCTGGAGAATGCTTTGGGAAATGGTGTCAAAGGCTTTTCTAAAGTCTAGGTTTACAACATCCATAGCCTTTCCCTTATCCAGTAAGCAGGTTACCTTGTCATAAAAGGAGATCAAGTTTGTCAATCAGGGCCTGCCTTTCATAAACCCATGTGGACTGGGCCTGATCACCTGCTTGTCCTATAAGTGCCTTTTGTGGTTTGAGCCCAGATGGAAACTGAGCACCATGTAGCCATTTGCTTATTCTTTCCCCGTCAGGAATAAGTAGGAGAAAATTACAACAAAAAGATTGTTAATTAAGATAAGGACAGGGAGAGAAGAGTCACCCATTACGGTCACAAGCAAAAGACAGACTCCTTAGGGGAAGTAAATGAACATCAATTTAATTCAAACACCACCACCATCAACATTTAACAAATCAGACAGTGAGAAGCATTGCCACATCTTAAAAACACCTTCCCCCCCCACTCCTCCCTTCTTCTTGGACTCAGCTTTGCTCCCAATTTTTCTATCTCCTCCCCTCCAATGGTGCAGGAGTGCAGGGGATGGGGATTGCGGTCAGTCCTGTCTCTCTTTCTTCTTCAGGGGGAGGACTCATATTCTTCCTCTGCTCCAGTGTGGGGTCACTCTCACAGGAGACAGTTCTCCATGAACTTTCTCTGACATGAATCCTTCCCACAGGCTGCAGCTCTTCACAAACTGCTTCCATATGGGTCCCTCCCATGTGTTGCAGTCCTGCCGGTGCCAAACTACAACTATGAAGGAGCTTCCCACAGAGTCCTGGCCTTCTTCAGGCACAGCCTCCTGCTCAAGAATGGAGTCTTTCACAGGCTGCAGATGGGCATCTGTTCCACCAGTGACTTCCATAGGCTGCAGGAGGACAGCCTGCCCTCTCACCACAGGCTGAAGGACAGTTACTGCTCCAGCACACCTCCCCCTCCTCCTTCTCTGTTCTTCCACTGCCTTAGTATTTGTAGAGGCATCTCCCCCACAACTCCCCCTCACAGCTCCAATTCCTCCTCACAGATTCCCTTTCTTAAATATGTTATCACAGATGCACATCCACAATCGTTAATTGGCTTGGCCTTGGCCAGAGGTGGGTCCAACCTGGAGCCAGTGTAGCTTTGAGGAGATTCTTACAAGGGTCACTGCTGTAGCCCCTTCCCCACTACCAAAAAACTCCACTATCCACACAAACCAAATACAGTGCCATGGGATGCTACATAACCTTCCTGAACACCGAGGTCAGGCTGACAGACCTATAGTTACCTGGATCCTCCTTCTGGCTCTTCTTGTAGATGGGCATCATATTTGTTAACTTCCACTCAACTGGGACCTCCCCAGGTAGCCAGGACCACTGATAAATTATTGGAAATGTCTTGGTGAGCATCTCCACCACCTCCCTCAATACTCTTGGGTGGATTCCATCTGCCCCCATAGACGTGTGTCCAAGTGGTGTAACATGTCACTAACCATTTCCCCTTGGATTATGGAGGCTTCATTCTGCTCCCTGTCCCTGTCTTTCAGCTTAGAGGGCTGGGTGCCCTTAGAACAACTGGTCTTACTATTAAAAACCGAAGCAAAGAAAGCATTAAGTACCTCAGACTTTTCCTAATCTTGTCACTATGTTTACTCCCACATCCAATAAAGAATGGAGAATCATCTTAGCCCTCCTTTTGTTGCTAATGCATTTAGAGAAATATTTTTTTTATTGTCTTTTATGAGTTCCAGCCAAAGCTCTCTGTTCAGCCAGGCCAGTCTTATTCCCTGCCAGTTTTCAGCACGTGGAGATGACCTTGTCCTGCCTCCTTTAAAACTTGCTTCTTGAAGAATGTCCAGCCTTCCTGGACTTCTCTGACCTTCAGGACTGCCTTCCAATGGCCTCTGTCAACCAGGCTCCTAAACAGGCCAAAGTCTATCCTCTGAAATCCAGGGTAGCCATTCTGCTAGCCCCCTACAATAAGAGTCAGATATGTACGTTTTGTAGGACCTTCTTATGGAAATGGCACAGTCTTTTGAGGAAGCTGTGTTGTGGTTAGTGTCCAGGGTATCAGAAGATGATAAGACTGGCAGAGTATGTGTTCATATGTTCAGGTATGTGCCCAACACTCTTGCTATGGCCTTATAACACCCCATGTAGGGTACAATCTCTTTTAAATTTTTAGTATACTATAGGGTACGTATTATGCTGCTGAGCTAATGGATAGTTGGAAAGGATACTGGAATTTGTGATTATTTACTCTCAGCTCCAGCATCCCTTGGTTGACAGGTTATTGTTTGTGATAGGCTGCACAAAATATATTACAAAAAAGCACATAATGATGGCTGTATTTGAAAAAAAAAAAAAACAAACAAAAAACAAAAACCCAGACATGTAGATGTACAATTATAAAAGAATCCACCTTAAGACTGCATTACAGTGGTAGTAAGAGTTTTCAGTTCAATAACATTAAATCAATGCAATTAGAGAGAACAAACTGGATCAATGTAACATCTTGGTGAAGACATGGCCTTATTGTTCATTGTTAGGAAAAAAAATCTTTTTGAAAGAACTATTCATGTAACCATTAAGAAAAGGAAAAATATATAATTGGATAAAAAAAAATATTGTCTTTTGTTCATTACCTAAAAGGTTAGTAATAATTGTTGTGGCAATCATGTAAACACTCTCGGAACTTGCCATATGTTAGTGCCAGTAATGTTACTTTTATTCAGAATCAGTTGGCATCAGAAGAAATAAGGGACAAAATATAGGATATTTTCTCAACTAATAATTGTGCATAGTTTCAGTACCCTCCTTCTCTCCTCCTCCCTATTATAAGGATTTTTAAACTTCTTTCAAATGCAGATTCTGTCTACTATCTCAATACTATATGCAGTCTTTTTCATGAATCATTTGCAAAATAGTCTAATTTTTTTTTTGTGCTTGGACTGACATGTTTAAAGAAAAGCCAGTAGTTGTTACAAAAATGGTATTGCTCAGGCAGTTTTAACCCCTGATGACTTCACATAGCCAATGGTTGTTCTTGCCTACACAACATGAAATTTCAGCTTGAAGGAATCTTTCTCTTTGGAAATTACCCTGGATACAGATTCCTTAAAGCTTTAGGTACATAAGTGTAGGTAAAAGTATCTATTTTCCAATAGGATCTAGTGCAGAAGACAGACTGTTGAAGAAAAATATCTCCTGAACAATATGCATGCATGTGTCCACATTCTGCATCTCTGCAAACAGCTAAAAATTTGGACTGCCACCTATGTTTTTTATAAACATAATAGAGCTTCTAGTGTCCATCTTCTTTCATAAGAAACCTAGACATACGGTGCCATCTTCTGCCATTGGTATTTGCCTCTCAGCTGAGTTTGGGCTAAAAGATATTCCAAGTTCAATATGTTCTATAACCTAGTTTCATGAGTCCATCCTGCTACATCTAAGATCACTGTAGCTAGGATAAATCTGTCATCTCTGTTTCATAGGCAGGCTGAGCTCTTTGTGGATACAAAACTTATCTTCATTAAAGTGACTAAAGACAGGGCGCTCTTATGAGAGACTGTGCAATAATATGGTAGTACCATCAGACAGAAGGTGTAGATAGAACAACTAGGCTTTGAAACTGTATACTCCTCCTGTCCACACCAGATAGAGATATGAGTCCACACTATCATTAGATAAAGTATTTTTACTCAGGTATTCCCAGAGCATGGGTGTGGTGGTTTGCCCCAGTACAATGGGTTTGAGCCTATATATTGTATAGAGAGAAGCCACAGATAACCTTGTAGAAGAGAAGAGTAATGGGAAAAAATGAATTGCTGATCCTTGTTCTCAAGCAGGTGGCTGTAAAGATGGAGCAGGGTTTTTTGGACAAAAGAGGACAAAAGGAGCAAAAAAGGAGAGAGACAAGGAAAATTCCAATCAGATATAATAAAAAAACGGAATGTAATGCAGGTAGTTAAGCACTGAAAAATGTTGGCATCTCCAACCTAGACTTTCATAACTTCATTGGACACATCCCTAAGTGATTTAATCTAACTTTGAAGATAGCCCTGCTTTAGACTGGGGATTTCAGAGTTTCTGTTCAACCTATCCTATGATTTCATAGACTTTCATCCTCCTCCAAAAGATGACATACATATAGTCTACCTATAGGAGAAGATTACAACATCTACAACAGTGGGTTGTAGCACTATGCTTCCCACTGCCTCTAAACACTATGACATTCAGAACACACCACAGGATGGTTTGCCACAGGATTGAAAGGCTTATAATATGTTATTATCACTGCTTGATATATCTGGCATCCCTTGTGATATCATAGAAAAAAAATTTGTGCATTCTGCATCTTTCCTATCAAAATTTGTGTATCCAGATTTTTGCACATATTTTAGAGAGAAGGAATTTTAGTGGATTCCATTCAGCATTTCTCTAAATTTAAAATACAAGGTGACATAATACTGCTGCTTAGGCATGATATGTTCTTGAATAAGCTTGCAGCACATTTGAGCATGGTTAGAAAGGTAGTTTATGACATTCAGCTCAGGATAAAACAGATTAGGAATTCTGTGCAAGAACAGTTGTTATACTGGCTTGCTCCCAATACTATTTAAAAACTATTATTTAGCTGCTGGCTCCAACTTCTATGTTTTGTTGGGGTTTTTTTTGCCTGCACTCTTTTGAGAATGTTTTAAAAGAACTTCTGCTACAGGAGCTGGTTGGTGATTTAGAAATGATTCACAAAGATCACTGCATCTGCTGCTGAAAGGATTGTTGTACGGTGATGCAGTACTATTGAAAGTAATATATTGAGAGTGTAAAGATGAACAATCACTTGAATTTTGCAGTTAAAATAAAACTAAAGCTTTTCTTTAAAGACGACAATACCCTTACTATGACATTCCCAGGAAACTGAGTTTTATTTGTAACTGCATAGAGTTTCAATATGCAGTTCCTACTTATCTAATAAAAACTGATGAAATCTAGTAAAACAAAATAATCTAATTTGACTTTAAAAATCGTACACCATCAATAAGTGTGGCCTGCAGTGCTATACTGAATGCAGTAGGCTAGTGATATATCCCTGATTTATAACACTCAATGTTCTGGGAGAATCCTTACATTTTTCTTCGTTTTATTTTTTTGACCCCTGAAGATACACTTGTAAAAAGAAAAAAAATATTGTTTGGTCTCTGTTTGCTCTCTTACAAGAGGGTAAGAATTCCTAACTGACCTGAGCAAAAAGCCATGTAGCTATAAAGTCTTTGATTTTCACTTACTCTTTAGCTAGAGTCCACGTAAAGAAACGTTTTTCTACCTAGTGGATTTCAGATGACTAGTTCATTTGTTTGATCAGACTAATTTAAATGAAAGGATGATCACCTGTAAAGAGTAAAATCTCAGAAGCAATTTTAAATTTAAGTAATGGAAACTTTTTTTCATTTGTAGATATTTTTCTATGGAAAGGAGAAGAGGTTTACATGTGAAGTGCTTGTATGTGCTTGCAATAGTACTGAAGGACTGCTTTTACTTAGAAGTGAGTAGTCTAAATTCTTCTCAGAATCAATTTAAATTACAAGACATAGTCTGAACCCTTCAAAACCACTGAGCTCATTTGCAAGATGCGCATCTGAATTTCATTTTGAACTAATTCTTTCTATACCATGGCACTTTAATATTTACTCAACAAACTACAAGTCTGATGCCTTGTGAAAACTGTGCTTTTAATTGTTTTCAATTATGTAACACTTTTGTCTATAATAGTACAGGCTTTTAAAAACCTATATAAGTCTTACCTTTGTTTAAATAAGAAAAGTTAGCCACACCCCTGTTATTGAATACCAGTCATAAATGTTATCTATTGACTTGTTTTGCTTTCTGTTAAAGCTGATCATCACCATCCTGAGATGCATGTGTGCCATTAGACTGCTATTAGTGATGTCTAAACACCCTAGTCAGAGATCAAGATGACAAATTAGCATGGCCACCCCCAAAAAATATCATTGTCTAAAAGGGAATCCCCAAACTAACATCATGATAGATGCAGACTGGCTGCAGAGACCTGGAGAGAAGATTTTTTAACCAGTAGAACCTGTCAAAAATAGAACTGAAATCAGAATAACTAAGTATCTGTGCTCTTTTGGTAGTCTGCAAATGAAGTGAAACTGAGTATTTCATCCCCACTGAAGGCTCACCAGTGGTTGCTCTCCATAGACCACAATGATCCCACTTCTCAGGATTTCAGAAGCCCAGACTGTAGAGGTCTGTGCTATGCAGCTGAAGCTTTCAGGCATGCTGATATCAAATAAAAGAGGCAGTGTATTTCCATTTCACAGTTTAATGTAATTTTAGTTTTCATTTTTATAGGATATCTTACAACTGACTGAACAATCAAAGTTTTGACGGCTTGACTTTTAAAGTACAGTTGATTTGTACAACAGTTTGTTATACATAATACTATAGACTTACAATGACTGCGTTGTGCTTAGCATAATAATTTTGTCATACTATTGTAATAATAGTATGGTTGTATATTGATGTGAAATATAATAAATACAAGTATTCTCAGGGTTCAGTGTCATAGAAAGGTTGGGCATGAAAGTCATCTATAAAGTACTCATGCACTTACAGCTATGTATGTATGAAAGGGTTCTTCCTACAGCATCAAAGTCTTTCTCAGCTTTTCTTAGGTTCAGCGTATTTATCTCTTACTACATTGCTACGATTTATGGCTGTAGATAAGACCCTTAATTTGTAGTTTACTTCTATGCCTAGTTCTACTAAGCTATTAACAAGTGTACTTTTATGTAAAATTAAATTATTTGACCCTTTAATATCAATAAAATAAACAGATAATTGTAAAAATTATTAAAAAATCTGAGCTTAACATGTTCTGCCTACTCTCAACTGGCTATGCTGTAAAAAATATTCTATCTTTACATTAAGAGCTAAATTAATTAGGTAAACTGATATGAAAATATTCCGTTTTTCCATTCTTAAGACTTCTGTTTAAATTTTATGCCGAACATATGGACATAATGTACAAATATATGACATTTAGTAAAGTTGGGAGAGTTTAATCACATCTGCTTTGGGAAGCTTATAGGGCTAGAGTTGTAAATCACTGCCCAACAGGAGAAAAACAATATGAATTGTTAGAAAAATAATATGAAACAAAATGCCAGGATGATTTACCTGAGCTGAAGTTCTGATCTCTGTTTGCCTGACTTGATTTTCACCTTAAGTTGCACTATTCTTGTAAAGAAATAAATTCACATCCTCCCAAAATAAAACTTAAAATTTGAACTGAAATTCTCCAAATGAATTAATGGTTTCCCTTAAATATGACAGAATTATTTTTCACTGTTGCATGACAAAAGAACGTAATCTCACCAATACCACCAATGTCAAAAGCATTGGTACAAAATCTGATTTAAAGAATTCAAGTATTTCTAAAAATCCCTCCTTATTCCAGGATTTGAGTTAAGTCTTCAATATTTTTGCCTCTGTCTAGAAAATCAATGATAAGGTTTGCAAGAAGAAGCATTTCTGTGGCTATTAAAGTATTGACTAAAATATCATTTGAAAGTCACTTGAGCTGTACATCAACCACGACAGTTTACAAATGAACTAGTACAGTTTACTTGAGGATGAATGTGAGTATTTTTGATACTTTTCTGTTCTTCCCTGTGGCCAGGTCTTGACCTTATAAAAAAGGTCTCAAACGTTTTAAAAAATTATCTTCATAGCTCATATTGTGCACCTATAAAATAGGTTGTTTGACTGGACAAGAGGACAGGTTTGGTGTGTTGCCTTGGTAATGAGTGATACGAAAAATTTAACAGGACTGACGTATTTAATTTTAACCACCCTTCTCTACCCATCCCTGGAAATTAACTAAATTCCCCTGCTGAAGATTTTACCTGTAGGAATGTAAGGAGATAGAAGCAACAAGTAGGTTTTTTAAAAGCAATGAATATATCTGGCAACCATAGTGGAATGCTATGATCTTGATTTCGCAAAGAGTGGGAAGTCTGGATGCCTTCTTTCATTCTTTGCCAGCTCCTACCACAACAATATCCTTGCTACATACACTGATATTAGCTCCACCATTCCAAATGACTGCATTCCCAACTTCAAAACATGATGAAACAATAACAAAAACCTGAAAGAAAACAACAAATATATCATACTCTTCTGTGTTTACTTGGCTATACACAATTCTCCTCAGGTCATCATAGAAAACACAGAGAAACAAAGAGAAACAAAGACATTCTGTGTTGTCAAAGTCCTGTTGTTTGGTTAAAAGTTATTATTTGGTTTAATTGTTAAATGCCCATGCAGTAATATTAAAACATTTTTTTCTGGTGTGAAAAACTATGGTTTAAATAAATCTATGTAATATTCCAATAAGAAAAGGCTAGTATTTACCTATCTGGAGTAAAATATTTTCTTTTACAACCCCTTCAGGCCTAACATACAGCAGATAGTCTGTAACCATAGCAATCAGCTGTATTGATGGAGGACCCAGCTAGACTAATCAAAAAAGGAATTGCAGTGCGAGGAAAGATCTGTTGAGTGCAGTTGTGCATACTACTGACTACATGAGAATATTGGCTCCTTTTGAGCGGAGCTAGTCAAACAGTGAAAAATATTTTGTCAAATGTTAGGTAAAAGCAACTTTAATTCTTCTGTCTCTGCTTTTTCTGCAGAGCTTTGGGATTCGCTTGATTTTTTTGTCGAGGTGGAGCTTTTTATTTCCACATCAACCTACATAACAAAAGTGAATATTATAAGCATTTGCACAGAATATAATATAGGCTAGATTTGGCAAATAATCTGCTGATCATATTATGGAAAAAGGCTCTCCCAAGGATGCTAGGAGCTAAACATATCAATCATCTTCTGCAACTGGCTCAGGTATGACCTGGAAGTAAACTGAGATTGTATCCCCCTGTGAGGCTATGAAACATTAAGCACACCTGAACAAGGTCATAAAAAAATGCCAGATGCTATAATTCTGATCAGTCCCAATTAAGTTTAGGAAAAAGCCATCCAACTAGCAGCCCCATGAAAGAATAATTAAAAGAGTTTAGGGTGCCTACAGTACATAGACATTACCAGTTTCATTTATTATGGTCATTCTTCTCCTCAGTATTGAAAAAAAGAGAAGCTGAGAAACTGCTGTGTTAATTTGTGAGCTGAAAATTCCCCAACTGAAGTGAGATCTTCCAGCAACTACATCTTTCATGTTAGAGGTTTCTTTTTGTTGTTCTAGTACAGAAAAGATTAAGCCCATCCACAATCATTTTGTTGACAATTTCTGACAAAAATAAACCATAAAGCAGCATCTATCCTTCATTCCAGCAGCTGGAGCATCTAATGAAAAAGCCCTAACCAATATTTATTTTCAAAAGTAATTCATACTCTCATTATTTTTTATAGCAGTTTTGAAGAATTTGAATTTTAAGCATTACATTAGATACATGACACTACATTACATTAGAGAGATAGGAATAAATGCCAAAAGATGCCAACTTAAGCTCTCAGTATGATAACATTTTAAAGGTCAGATGAAGTGACATAGTGATTATAGTACATCAGCTGTCTGAATATGATCCAGTAGTAATGGTTTACTGGGAAGGGCTGGATGACAGAATGTTTCAGACACAACAGCATCTGGAAAAGGGACGGGACCTACTGGCATCTTCCTTCTTTCAAGACATCTTAAGTATTTCTTTTTAGTGACAGATTAAAACACTACTCTTGGTTTTCAGCAGGGAAGAATTTCCTCAGGCACCGTTAACTGGCTGAATGGGAAGAAGCATGGAGAAATCAAGACCTACTCTGATATCAAGCTTGTACAGAACTGACATTACAGACTCTCAACTATACCACATTCCTACAAATATTAAGATACAGTGCATCTACCACATGGCATGTGTTGCAGAACACAGTCCAAATGCCAAGATGCCTGCATCATAGTGTATGTGTGTATAGACACACATATGCATTTGCATGTGCAAACACACATATGCATGCACAAACATTATGTGCTCGTTCTTTAAATGAAGGTTAGAAGGCACAGTATCTACATTGCCATTGAAAGTTAGATGATCATATTAACATGTTAGCATGAATAAGATGGGAAACAGATGACTGGAAACTCAAGAGTCACACCTTCTGAAATCTTAGTGAAATTTAATTTAAAAATTTACTTGTGAATTTATGTTATACTCCTGAGTTGCATATTAAAAAAAAAAAAAAAAAAAAAAAAAAAAAGACAAAGACACAGACAAATACTTCTGATTATATATTCCTTAGTCAATCATAGAAGTCATAAGGAAGAGTTCTTGGGTCTGGAAAAGAAGGAAGAGCTATGGACTTTACTTCTACATACTTCGTTCTCAACTCAGCTGCAATTGCTATAGGTACAAGCTGTAGCATTACATTTTGGTAAAACTACTGGTAAGAGTGTTAGGAACTGTAGCCTGGACGTGGCCTGCTTTGTGAGGCATGAAGGTTACAATGAGCTCCTTAGACTCATTTATTCTGGTCACTGAGATGGTCACTGAATAGAAAACATTATTTTCTGACAAACTTCAAAAATGATTTTGTAAATTCACTAAGGACTTGAACACATCTAATCACTAATTCACTACAGACAAGCCTAGTTCATAGGGTGGTTTTATTCCATTACTGAAAGAAGCTACATGTTAATTTTAGCACCTATGACTTCCTATGAACTTGCCCTTTAAAATATCACCCAAGAAAAAATTTTCCCAGTTTATTTCATGATCTGTTGACTCTACAAGTGCAAAGCCGTATTTGGTTCAAATTCAGCTACCTGTATTTTATTTCTTTTACCTGGCTCATATATCAGGAACCAATCTATGTATAGATTTCAGAATCCAAAGTCTATGCGATCCACAATATAGAATAATTAACAAAGTCAATCTACAATGAAAACTTTGACTTACTGAAAGCAACCACAAACCAAGTAAGGTGTTACACCCTCTACAGCCACAGATTAAAACTCCAGTAGAGACCATAGTGATTCAAGTTTGAAATTTTTCATGTCAGTTCACACACTTCCCCAAAATACTTCCTACTTAAAGTACATCCTTGAGAGAAATATCCTGTTTCGATTACCGCTACCACAGAACCCACCAAAATTCTTCCTAAATTGTTCATGTGGTTAACTATGTTCACTAAAAGCTGCATTACTATTCCTGTCTTCATTTGACAAGCTTCATTCTGGGTCTTATTTTGGCTCTGCCTTTGAGCAATAGATTGAAGGGCCCTCTATTATCAAATTTCTTCTCCTACATAGGAGGCATGCCCTTTAACCTTCTCTTCAGTAAAACAAATAATCCTGAGGTTCTTCATTCTTTTAAAATAGAGGCACATTGTACAGTCCTTTAATGACAGCAATTCTCTGAGACCTCTTCAGTTTATTAACATCCTTCTTGAATTATGAATAGAGATGCGGGAAAATGATACTTTTGTTCTCAGAAATTCCCCACACCTCTCTTCTTCTACTTAGAGTATTGGCTGACTGGAGGCGAATTTAAACATATATCTATTGCCCTCTTCTCTTGCTTAGGCAAACTTCCTGTCTATCACAATTATTTCAGTCAGCTTTTTTAAACCTAACAACTGTACAAAATTCTCCTTACAAGAGTGTCAAATGTAGACTTCCTGTTTGTAACCATACTTGGTATCCTTTCATTTATGTGTATTTAAGTACATTTGACAATGAGGTCTCATGTCGAGCCCTGGCTTGTTCTGACTTCCAGAGCTGTTCCTCCTAAAGAGCCAACGTTTTGAGCTCTGCTTGACAACACTTCATTTATAAAGGAGAAAGAAGGTTTCTTCACCCTGAAGATTTGAACCTACTTACCTGTCAAGCAAACTTACCAGCAATGAAATGCGTGGAATATGGGATGTAAATTTGCACATGCATGCAGATACATGCACTTACGCATACAGGTCATAATGACATATCCACATTGTGACAACTCAGTGTAGAGAAAAAGATTTCAGACCTTAGCCACGGAAGTCAACTTCACATGGAGGAGTTAAATATATGCTAAAAAACAGATTCAATCTTACTTGATTATCAATGAATATCATAGATTTAGTCAAGGGCTCATAAAACTCATTATTAACTTTTTATTTAGTCTTTCAAATATTTTCTGCCCCAAAGAATCACTGCATTGACAAGACACCTACTTCATAATTATGTGACCTCATTATTGTCAATATACTGAATATACTGAGTAGAATTCTGACTTTCAGATACAAAGGATAGATAGCAGCAGAAATGATCAAAAATGAATTCCCCACTTCGTTTTCCCAGGATGGAAAGTAAGAAAAATAAAATGAGGAGGATTTTCCTTTGGGGAAAACAGATATTTTGCAATTGTTTGCCTACCCTTCATTAAAATGCCATCTTCTGTGTTCAGCTTTTCAATGCCTATAAGGCAAAATTTTATGAAGCAGAGCTTCAGGCATGCTTGTCTTTCGTGCATATTTTCTGCCTTTCATGAATCCCAGTCTAATACCTGTTTACCTATTCAATGTACTAGGACCTTGGAAACATAGATTGGCTTTCTTTATCCTATTCCAGGAGCTGAGTTGCTAAATCAGAAAGGTTTCAGTGCTCAGCATTGCAATGGCTATGCTACTTTGCTGAATATCTGCCTGTATAAAGTCAACGTATCACATCTGACTGTCAAGAAAGACAGTAAAAGCAAAGAAAATCCTGTGCTTATAAAATTAACAAATAATAGGTCTATGAAACACAGCACAAATGCTGTTTGTATACCCTGAAGGGTTTCCTTTGTCTGGGGCCTTACCAACAGCTGCAGGTTTTAAGGGCTAGTTGTCATCTAATCTACAAACACAGCCTGCCCTACTTAAAACCCCTATTCTTTGCCTTCCTCATGACAGCACTTGACTACCTTCATATCCTTGCACACAGTATATTCCTATTCATGATATGTATTTTTAAAATGGCTTTAGCAAATGGAGCTGTTTAATTTGTTTCATGGGTTCCCACTTACCCATGCAAATATCTTGGCTCAATCATGCATTTGTTCAGCTAATCACCCAGATGTGTATCTCTGGTAAAGCAGTAAGAGCCTGGAAACATCTTCTACAGAGAAATCTGTTGTTAAAAAAGAAATAGCTTCAAACCCCAATTAATTTTTATCTGTAACTTAAAAGCAAGAAAAAAATGAGGACAGTCAGAAATTAATTATTTAACAAATAATCTTCAATCAAGTCAAAAAGTGACCAGAGCTACCAGATTTCAGGCTTCTCGTCATTAACACAAGTGTTTGAATGCATTCAGGGTTAGGGAAGGTTTTGTGACAGTTGTAATGAGACAATTTGCAAGAAGTAGAGCTTAACCACCTTAAAATACTCAAAGGGTATCATTTTAGATGTATAATGAACTTTTGATTGGCCATTTGATATTACTGTCAGGGCTTGAAAATCTATCAGTTGATACCCATGAAAAATGTGAATATAAGACAGGAGAAAGATAGTTATATAAATGCTTTGACCTATCTGGCATGAATGGATTTCATAATTACAAAATGGTCCTAGCTACCTACTCAAGAACAAAAAGATAACTTTTTTATATCTCTTTCCACGTGCACAGACACATATACACTCATTTCACCTAGCCCCAGTTAAAGAAGGAAAACTATAAGCTATACCGAGTTAAACATTAAAACTGAAGTTCTAACGTTCCATTAAATTCACGTTGCATTAAATATTTGCTTTTCTTTGTTCATGTATATAATATGTAAGATCCTCGTGCTGTTGTAATTCTTGTACACATTAATCAGTACATTGTCATTTAAGGCCATCTCTCAATATTCCAACCAACTGCTTTTCTATATCTTTCTTCTCTTTTACCCTTTCCCACTTCTTTTAAATAAGCTCTCTTGTATCTTCTTTGCCAGATGCTGGTCAGAAAGACTTTTATGCAGAAATGTGATTAAAAATGTGGACTGTATATTTCATATGCCTGCTACTGTTCAGTTCACTAAGTAATAGCTGGAGGTTCCAAAGAATGCAACAAAACAAAGGGAGGAAGCTATAAGTTTACAGCAAAAGCTGCTTTGTACATAGACTTTTGCAATTTCTAACCTCTTCTACTCTGAATTTTTAATATTCAGTATTTATTCCAGAAAAAGCTGAATTGAATATTAATCTTTTACAGAAATATAGTAACTCATGATTTACTTTTAAAGGTTAAAAAAATGTAGTCTTGGGTAAAATTCTGGACTTCTGTACACATTTTTAATTCTTTCAACACTGATAGTTACCACCTAGTTACCACTCTTTCAGGTGGCCAGTTAGGCATTTTTTTGGATGCCTTGTGACAAATAATAATGAAATTCATTAATCTGTTTTGTAAAGAAATATATGATGAAAAGATTAAGTTACCGTTTTCTTTGATTGTGTTTTTTCATCTTCCTTTATTCCACATGACAAATTTCCCAATTATTTTACCATAATTATTACAGTAATACAGTACACACATACTGATCACATGATGTAATATTTCATCAGTGTTATAAAATATCAAATAATAGCTGTGATTGATAAATAAAAAAGTTGGAAACTCAGTGTTCAGAAAAGTAACAGATTTCAGTAGTCAATTTGTTTACATAAAATGTTAGTACTACAGCCCTGTGGTTTAAGAAAAAAAATCTGTGAATGAGTTTAAGTAAAATGCAATATTAATGCTGCAATTTCCTTTTGGAAGTGCATATTTTTCTATTGTTGTTTTGTGAACCTTGTGCCTCTGAGTGTATATTTTATATAGCTTTTGCCTTGGAACTCCCTTGTTTCAATCCCCTAAAACTGTCAAGTGTGACTCCACCTGCTTTATTGTTCCCATAAATTCATATGAAACTAGTAGCTAAATCCAATTTGTGTCATTCTGTCTCTCTTTGTAGCCTGTTCTAAATCTCCCAGCATGTTTCACAAAAGTAGAATCCTATTAACGCCAAATAACCACCACTATATTTTATTCCATGGTTATTACAGTCCTGGTACTGTCACAGCTCCTAAAGAGTCTTGTCTCTCCACGAATCTATGACGACCAAAACCTGCAAACTTATTACTAGCTTGCTGTTCTTTTGCTTTTCATCTGATATACTTTTTCCTATTTTTTTTTTTTTTTTTTTTTTTTTTCATGAACTTAGGTATTATAAGTTTAGGCTCAATACTTTGTCAAGAAATTTGCCAATCTGTAAAATGCTACTAATTAACATGAAAAACCTATAAACTAACAGATAAGATTAGCCCACAAAATTTATGTGCCTATCTTTAGCTTTACTGAAGTTCTTTGCTTTCAAAGTACTGAATATGTCCAGCTTTAATTTAAGAATTAAGGATAATAACTTATTTTTCTTTATTGCTTTCTAAACAAGTGAGTGAATTAAAACATTAAAAATTGGAAAACATTGAAAATTTCAATGTAAATTCTAAAATCTGGATTAAAACATGAAGTCTTGTTATAATTGAATGAATGCAAGATCATAGTTCTTTCACTTTAAAAAATAAAGAGAAAAAAAAAATACCCTTCTATTTAAGGTTTCAGTATAAAAATTAATCTCTCTTAATGGAAATGTATAAATGTCTTAGAACCTTATCTCCACCTGGTATCCTAAGGACTTCTGTAATATAAGTATAGACAACAAAATGAAGAGTGTAATATGCTCACTTAAACTATATTCTAGAAGCTCCAAAGCACAAACAGTTGTGTTTTTTAAAATATATTTTTAAGTAAGTATCTTAATGGCTTCATCATACTGTGAAATGCCTTGGCACCTACAGCATGTCTTGAACTTCTGCTCACTACATCCTCTGCAGTGATACCTCATTAATAAGTTCACTCTTCATTACTGCAATATGTATAATTAGACTCCAAATCCTGCAATCCTAAAAATGTAAAAATATGCATTTGAAATAAGATACGTAATAGTTTTTCCAGGGACTAAGAACATATAAAGGATGTGTTAGGCTCAGGAATGACTGAGTGAAGAACCTAGGACCTGCCAGAAATAATCCTGTGCCTAAAGGGTGTGACTATGCAATGTATTATGCGTAAGCAAGATGTCCTTCCACCCATATTTCAAAGGCAGTGTTGTCATTCATTAAACTTAGTTCTATGCCAAATACTAGCATGTGGTTTCCAGAAAGCCTGAAATAAAAAAGTGAGCTCATATCTACTGGCAATCTGTGCCCTAACAAAGCTGAGCTGATCCTCTGATATCTGAAAGGGGAAAATCAAGTAGGAGCAAGAATGGGAACTTGCTTCTTTTACACAGTTTGGTTAAACTCTATGGGAGGGATGTGCTCTTCTTGTCTAAATATTTTTCAGAAATTATATGAAATTACTAGATGACTCAAAGAAGAATGATTAAAAAAAATCTAGGAACAGCAAAACAACTTTAGATGTAAAATAAAAGAAGCTCATTATATTTCATCTCATACAGTAAACATATACAGCAAATTGGAGTATTATGTATGTATGGTTAGTTAAAAATTCCTGGTAGAAAGAGTGAAGAAACATTTCAACATCTTTCCAGCCAGGTGATGCAGTCATATTGCTCAGAGTCTTTAAAAGAGGTTTCTTTAATTTAGGCTGAATGATCTTGTGTTTCTATTACATTCTGAACATATCAAAAGAAAGTGTCTTACTTCAGCTTTAAGCAGTAAAGATGGACCACAATGCAGAGCGCACATTTTCTGAACTTGTGACAAGATCAAATTCACATTTTCTGGCAAGCTCTTAGGTAATGATATTTGGACAAAGAATCCCTATTAAGGCATTTAAATAGCACTGAAGTTAAAATATACAAAAATTTTTAAAATTATTTAAGAAGGACCTCTTAGAACTGTTCAGCTCTGGAAAGTTCTTGCTATTCCTTCCTTGCCCTGGAAATGTTAATTTGTGTTGTCTGAAAAAAATATCAAGCTGATATAAAATATCAAGACTGGAAGGGGCTGTTATAATTATACAGCTGGGCTTTGAAAAATAATTGACCAATC